ACACTGTGTCGGTCGTGCTTGGTCTGGCCCCAGGACCCCCAGAGTTTGACCTTTGACCCCTGGCATGCCATAAATGTCATCCTTAAAGGGGAAGTATACCCTAAAATCAAATTTTCACCAGTTGTAGTCTTCTGGGTGCTGAGTCGAATGGTCTTGGTCCGAGGAAGCTGCGACGCTCCTTTCCTTCTTTTTTCCCAATCGAACCCGCGCACTTCCACCGAAACTGGGTGACTGCGCCCTACTAGATGGTGATTTGTATGCAAAATCTCACTAAAAGTGCTATGTCGTTCTTATAAAAGCACGGATGACCGCGATTAGCCCATATGTTGTAGTCTTTTGGACGCTGAGTCGACTGGTTTTGGTCCGAAAAGGCTGCGATGCAGCGTTTCTCCTTTATTCCCAATCGAACATGGTTGAACAAGCGGTCACGTGCTCCTGGGTGCCCAAATCACGTGGTCACCGCGCCAGCAGGCAACAACTTTCACACCAAGTTTCAACTCGAGTTCAACTCGAGTGACAGGATTGCACCCAAAAAAGGTCAAACAGGCTAGTAAGTTGCACCCTGCAGGGACGGTGACCAGGTGACTGGTGTACGCAGGAGCACGTGACCGCTTGTTCAACCATGTTCGATTGGGAATAAAGGGGGAACGCTGCATCGCAGCCTTTTCGGACCAAAACCAGTCGACTCAGCGTCCAAAAGACTACAATATATGGGGCAATGGCGGTCATCCGTGCTTTTATAAGAACGAAACGGCGCTTTTAGTGACATTTTGCATACAAATCCCCATCTAGTAGGGCGCAGTCACCCAGTTTCGGTGGAAGTGCGCGAGTTCGATTGGGAATAAAGGAGGAAGGGAGCGTCTTAGCTTCCTCGGACCAAGACCATTCGACTCAGCACCCCGAAGACTACAACTGGTGAAAATTTGATTTTAGGGTATACTTCCCCTTTAAGGTTCTTTTCGCCATAGGTGGCGAACGTGCACTTGTGCACGTTCGGTGCATTCGCACCAGGGAGTAGTAAAATACGTACTATTCCCTGATTCGCACATCGTAGATGTGCATTGCATGCATTGAATGACATTTTGCGCATGCGCGCATACGCACGCGGAGGGTGCGACCTTCAGTGGTCCTATGCGTGTGGAAAAGACGCAGTGCAACACAAGGTGTACTAGTACACGTATCATTATACTACTCCCTGATTCGCACTTCGTAGATGTGCAGCAAACAAGTTCACGTTCCGTGCATTCGTTTTATTCGCACATCGTAGATGTGCAGTGATTGACAAGTTGCCCTGCAGAGCATGCCTAATCGGCTTTTCGATCGGTTAAGAGAATGTTCAAATTCGGCCATATTATGAGCCCCAAGATCAGAATTCGGCTCAACGTAGTACTTGAAGTCACCATTCCCATTACGTCATGTACTTTACACACACCCTGTTGAAGCACTGAAACATCGGTTTTCGGCGAACTCAACAGGCGAATTTTTCGGCCAGCCGATTTGGCAAATGCCTACTGTCCATGCAGGTGCATTAGATGCATATTTCTTTTTTGATCAGGATACAGTTAGAATCAACCGGCTACGCCCGGAGTATCATGCATCAAAACAATAATTATTATTGAAGGGGTGTCACGGTGAAGCAGTGTTGCTACGAACCACAAATCCCCTCTGCAATGTACTGAATCTATATTCGAGAATCCAGAGTGGCCAGCAAAGAGTCACAGTCCCTGTAACAAGACGTCAACGTCTGTAGAGCCTTCCGCTATCAAAATAATAAATTCTACTACTACTACTACTACTACTACCCGCAGGTATCCAGTCACACTAAGGCATGTCCACCGATCCCCACATATTCACTGTAACAAAACACATTATTGTTTACTATAATACACTTTTATTTAAATGAACTTGAATGAATCTGTAGCAGAGAACACAATGCACGCACACGCACGCATGCGCGGGCACACACACACACATCTAGGTTATAGTGCTGTACGTATCTAGTGTATCTTGACCCTGTACCCCAGTGCTTGTCGTGACTAAACTCATTCCAAAAATTACTCATTCAAAAAGTGGAACCCTTCCAGACATGTTACAAGCTAGACACACAGCATGACAGTCGACCGCATTCAAAGCGAGTGAGGTGCCAAGAACAAAATACTCCACCTTCCATTGCCAATTGACTTGTGTGCTGACAATACAAACATCATAGTGAACTGTGTACCAACCAGTGCGAAGATTGTCTGGAAGCACCTTGTCAGGCCGAAGGTTGTCGTCGCAGCCTTGCAGTGGTTATCTGAGGAGGTGAGACGAAAGATTCATGAATTGCTTGCACATTTGTACCAGTTGTACCGCCTATGCGAGTGCCATGGTTAGGCAGCGGCAGATTATGCCGGCATAATTATTGGCATAATTTGGTGGGTGAAAATTTGGAGCATAATTTGGCATCCTCTCGGAGGTAGGAGCATAACTACACGATTATACCACAGTTGTAGTATGTAGGCTATACAATTGTGTACAATGCACCTGATCAGTGCTGGTGGTCTGCATGGTAAAGGGTTCGGAGGTCATGCAGATAGTGTTTTCAATATCCGGAAAAGCAGGGTAGAAATCATGGCAATACACTCACGGTATTGTATGCTCGAACTCGTCTTCTTCAAAGTTCTTTCTCACACTGACACAGTACATGTAGCAGAAGATGCGAGTGAATCAGCCTTCATCAGGTATCCCGTAGCGGACGAGATAGTGGCGGGTAGTCCGCAAAACTCCGTGTACATGTACATGTACATTAAATTTGTACATTATGCATGTTACGAAGTCATGACCTCTGGTAGTCTGGATTTTAGCAGCCATGATATGACTGCAGGCTATGGATATTGCTCGAAATTGATGTATAGTTGATGTTCGGTCATGATGGAAGGAGAAGTGGAGCTACGGTGCATAGGGCCCATGCCAAGGTGTCCATGCATGTTAGAGATCAACATGGAAAAGAGAAAACAATACTTCTTCTATTCATTACTTGATTTCTTTTGTACTTCAGTAAAAATATGTTTTCATTGCCAAATTAGTTTGAGTTACCTTTGAAAATTATCATGTTCAACTGTCTTCGTAATCATCATACTCGTCCAACTGATGTCACCATCATCCTGCGAATAATCAGCTCATCTCTTCCGTAGCTCCACCTCTCCTTCCATCATGACCGAACATCAACTACACATCAATTTAGAGCAATATCCATAGCCTGCACAGTCATATCATGGCTGCTAAAATCCAGAGGTCATGACTTCGTAACATGCATAATGTACAAATGTAATGTACATGTGCATGTACTTGTATGTACATGTACATGTATATGTTTTTTTTTATTTTTTTATTTTTTTTTACGGGGTAACGGCCTCTTTTACGGGCAAAATAAAGTCATGTAGACGTGACAAAAATTGAGATACCATGAAAGGTTAAAATAGAATTTTATTCAAGTACAATACATTGGGAAACTCCAAGAAATTCCACGTAAAACGGACGGAATTCAGTTTTCAATGGCCGATGCCTACCCCAGCACCATCCTGCGTCGATGTACATACAAGTACATGACTGTATACATGTACATGTACACGAAGTTTTGCGGACTACCCGCCACTATCTCGTCCACTCCGGGATACCTGATGAAGGCTGATTCACTCGCATCTTCTGCTACATGTACTGTGTCAGTGTGAGAAAGAACTTTGAAGAAGACGAGTTACAGCATACAACTCTGTATTGCCATGATTTCTACCCTGCTTCGGAATAGAATACACTATCTGCATGACCTCCGAACCATTGACCATGCAGACCACCACCACTGATCAGGTGCATTGTACACAATTGTCTAGCCTACATACTAGAACTGTGCTATAATCGTGTAGTTATGCTCCTACCTCCAAGAGGATGCCAAATTATGCTCCAAATTTCCAACCACCAAATTATGCCAATAATTATGCCGGCATAATCCGCCGGTGCCTAGTGACTGTGTGTCAGTGTGTGTTGGCTCCTCCTCCTCCTTTCTGCTGTCTTCTCAGTGTGCAGACTCCTTGTCTATCCTCTTGCTGGGATTATGACATGTCTGTACAGTATGCATACTATTATGTAGAATTTGTCCATCCTCTTGCTGGGATTATGACAATCATGATGATCAGGCATGTAGTGCTTGTGTATACTGAGTAACTCGTGCCGGGACTATTGCATGTCCGTACAGACCGTGCATTCGTGAGTAGCGTTTGCCCATCTCGTGCCGGGATAATGACAGGGCTGTGTCTTTGCAGCCGCAGCACATGCATGCACATGCAAGACGAAGGTGCATAATTGTATAGGGGAAAGAGAAGACCCAGGGCTATTCACTAAGTCTTATTACTGACTCTGATAAAACATACTTGAAGTACCGCGAATACATTCCCCTCTTCCTCCCCTCACAATGGTTTTACTGCATTATGGCGCGCTTTGTCTGCGTAGACGCGAGACCTTTGAGGTCGGCAGAGCAGCCTGGCTCAGCCACCACTTCTCGCACATATTCGGGAATAATTATAGTGGACTTTCGTATAAAAAAAATACAAAGTACACTTTCCTGCTACCCATGGAGGTACGTTTTATCGGAGTTCCACTGACTCCGTCCTGTATTGGGCATGGACTGGCTGGTACACAACGCTACTTCTAGGACCCTGGCCACAGTACCGTACTTTTAACAAGCTACATTGTACATGTATGTGTGGGGCGAGAGTCCACAGTGTGGGATTGGACAATCTAGGTCACGACTATAGCAGGTGGCATGGCATTTCCTTAAAACAAAGTCCCAGGAACTGGAGAGCTGTGGCTGTAGGTAAGGTGTAGTCCTGGAGGTAGTGACAAAACACCAGTACTGGTACATGCACTGTGGTCACTTTCTACTCTAGCAGTGGAGTATCCCTACTAGGCAGTAGGGATGCATACAAAGGGTTTGTATTACTCATGGGGTAAGATTCTCACACAACTAATATTGTAAGCTAGATAGTTTTCCTTCAAGTCGGTCACAAGAAACTGCTTGTCCGCACAACGAAACATACGGAAATGAATGGTATACAGGAGATTAGGCTACTGAGGTGATACTAATTTACTAAAGGAAAGCAAAGGGAATCATTCTGATGAGGGGTGACTGACCCTTCTTTCGGAAGTATTATTACTAGATATTTTTATGATTGAAATCCATGTATATCAGGCTATGAAATAAGAGGAGTAAAAAGATGATATCAAAATTACCTCAGGGCTTAATTTCAGAATATTATGTGAATAGCCCACAACATAAATCCGCAAATAGTAATTGGAAAAAAAGCTGTTAGTTGACTGTGTAGCGCTCTCGTACAAGCAATCACCATATTCTGGTCAATATTCGCACGATGAAGAAGCCAGTTTTAGTTCACACCAAAGCATTTAAAATTGTGTTCTATCAAAACGTCAGTTGTACTTGTAGCACTATCCCTACACTTCTTCATCAATAGAATTGCGGGGTATCTATCCAGCTTTGCCATGTGCAGACTAGCAACAATCACAAACTGATAGTGATATTATGAGATTGCCACTGTGTGTGTGTCATACACAGTTCATGCCAATAGTTCATTCATTGCAAACAACAGGATAACACACTGTATTCATGATGGTGATTTCTCGTGCTTCTGTGGCTGCTCGTAATCAGACGTTTGCACGTATGCTGCCAATATTGCTTGGTAATCACCTGTGGGCGCCGCTGCAAGACCAGCTTCCTGTGTTGTGTTGCTGGGCTTGGGAACTATAGACGATTCATACAGGTGTTCCTGGGGTTCTGTTCCTAGAGCTTGATAGACAGTGCTCCCAGGGTTTGCTGGTGAGGCATTGCCTTGAACACGGGACCCCCTGTGGCAAATACAGATCACACCGATATGATGTCTCCATTATTCTGCTGATGAGAACACGTACAGGTATTAGACTACAGACATATCCAAGATGAGTTTGGATGCTTTTTGTAGCTTCAGTATGTCCAATTATGTTGAGGTGCTGACTAGAACAAGCCTGATCCTCCCATACATTTCCTCATTCGTGATCATGGTCATAGACCGAAACGTTGAATGGATAAAGGCATTTTGAGTAAAGAGAAGAAAGCAGTGCAGTTTGAGCCCACAACATAATCTACTACAAAACATAACTTTGGCGTGCTCGATAGATTTGCACTGTATTATTAATTAATTGAGGAGCAAGAAAAGTGTTACCAAACAGTATGAATGCCAAAGGAAAAGAGCACGCCAAAGTTGGTGACCCCGACGTGATAAGTATTATTATTATAGAGTTTCAGACAAGGCAATTTGGAAGTTCCAAACAAGTTTGCTCAACTGGCTACAGAAAGTTTGCTGCAGGCGCCTGCATCCTATCTAGATATCTAGTGTTTGTGGGGTGATAAGACGAATAAGCTAACACCAGAGTATATGACTGTATCTTCAAGGAGAAGAAAGTAATCTGAAGGAAAAGACTTCAAAATTTGATTTGGTCCATTGTTATTAGGCATCTGCCTGTTTTGTTTTCTCCACTATAAATAAAAGAATACTACTACTAACATTATTTTTCTGCAATATTTAATACGGATCTGCAGACTGGGTACGCCATGAGCAAGCATACGATGCAGCCTCTAAATAATGGCGAGGACAGATTGGATCCATGAACCAGTGACAAGGAGCAAAATCCAGGAATTGGGGCCATGACACATTCGAATACCATACTCCACTCCTGGTGCACAATGATTCTTACATTATCAGATGATACAATCACCGGAGCGTCAACATTACTTCGATAATTCGTTCAACTCCTAACAAGCCTTCCCATACCATGAATGAGCTTCACCCAAGGATATGCCTACACTGCCATCCACTGACTGTCACCTCATAACTCTATTTATTTATTTCTCAACAACAAATGGGCATATTAGGCAAAAACCTGATAACACAGCATCATGTTTCTCAGCTCCCATGGACAATTCAATGTGGAGCATAGAAACAATTCTGAACTGCATGCACCACAATCCCAGCATTAGATGTACTACTAGTACCTGTTGGGTGGCTGGTTAGTTGCAGAGGAAAGAGACACTGCCCTAACTTCTTGAGTATATTGTGCCAACTTGCTTCTCTGGGCTTGTGCAGACACTGATTACAGAGTAAAGCACATATCAATATTCAACCTTGTGAGCAAGACCATCGTAGACTGTTAGCATCTTCTATTCACAATACAAGCTGACATTTTCATCTGATCTGCCCTCATGAATGGCATTCTAAGCTTGCAAGAGATTCTACAATCGAGTATTCTTATTGCTGAGTGCATTCGATTTCTCAAAGAGCACAGTACTACAGTGTCATGAACTCGAGAAGGACAAGAACACACTGCCGTGCAATTATAGAGTTGATATAGATGTCTGAGTATCTTACTAATAATGGAAAGTGCTCAGCTCCCCCTGTACTGTGACTGACCTTGCTTGGACTGTGTGGATCTTGGTAAGCGGTCGGAAGCACCTCCAGACGCAGGCGGCGATGAACTCCCTGCTTGATCATGCGACGGCTTTCTCAATCGTGGAGGAGTTGGTGATTGGTATTGTCCCTGTTTGCTCATTACGTTCAAATCCTGGTAAACAGTCGATGCTGTAGGTACACTGCTGGAAGCATTGTCTGTTACTGACCTGCGTACATCTGGCATGAGTGATTGGTATTGCTCCTTCTGACTTCCATCTCCCACTGTTTGATACACACTGGCAGTGTTTGCAGGCATTGGTGTAGAGTATGGTATCCTGTTGTCCATGTTCTTTCGTTGAACGTCAGGAATGAGTGTTTCGTATTGCTCTATCCTGCTTGCTGGTGCGGCCTCTTCATACATGGATGTAGGCTTGGATGACGTCATGCTCTCAGTAGGTACTCTCTCATCCTGGGCAGGAGTTATACTTTGGTATTGCTCTGTCGCGCCAGCAGGACCCAGTGGTTGGTACATATTGGTAGACGTTGGAGCAGCAACTTGTGATGTATCCTGTTCCTCCTTCTTGCCTAATGGAGCCATCTCTTCGTATACGGATGCACCCATTAATGCTGGAGACACTGCAGCATCAACGGCATTCTGTTCCTTCTTCTTTCCCAATGGAGCCATCTCCTCGTACGCATATGCGCCCACTAATGCTGGAGGCACTGAAGCAGCAACTTGTGATGTATTCTGTTCCTCTGTCTTGCCTATTGGAGCCATCTCCTCGTATGCAGGTGCACCCATTAACGCCGAAGGATTTGAAGTTGTTTCGGTTGATGACGTCCCGCTCACTGCCGCAATAGGTGAGTAATATGGTGTATTCTTCTCAACAGATGCTGGACCTATATCATGATACAATATTGTTGTGGCGAATTTGTCACCTGCACTGCCACTGGAACAGACAAGAAAATACACGTAGATGTATCGTGTACACTGGACAGAACCTACCATTACTAATATGAACAAAAGAGAGATTTTCCTGACTTGGTTTATCCAAGAAAGGTTACAAGTCTGTCCTTACACAACAGCCCCCCCCTCCCCCCGCACATGAACGCCCACGTACTTATTTTTCGATTTTTTCCAGCTCACACAGCGAACATGCAGCCACTAATCGATCGTTCGAGTGCTCTGCGCTCCCATACATTTTTTGTGCCAAGGCAATGGTGGAATGAACATGGGTGAACACATTGTTTCCCCTACGGCCCATTGTCCTCGTTGCTCACTATCATTCATTCCCCCTCCTCATGGTTTTACTGCATCATTGCGCGCTTTGTCTGCGTAGACGTCGAGGCCTTTAAGGTCGGCAGAGCACCCTGTCCCTGCCACCACTTTTCGCACGTATCCGGGAATATAGTGGATTTTCGTATAAAAAAAACAATGAAAAAACACTGAGCAGTAGTGGTCATTACAGTTTCAGCTACAGTCTCACACAGTTTCAGCTACAGTCTCGCTTCAGTAACTAACGTCTGCGGTTGTTTTGTCTCCACACATCTCGGAGAACATCACATGGTCCTACAGATACATGGTTGTCAGTTTTTGATACTGCCATCAGTCGGTGCGGCTGCCATACCGGTTCTCTCCCAGCAGGCGATTCTATGAAAATTTACCTCTCCAAGGAAAGAGAGAGAGAGCGGGAAGGGGGGGGGGGGAGGAGGAGGAGAGTCATTGCTTCTCCAATCAGTTTGAGCCACTTCCAAATATGTATGTGAGCCCGGCCAGCGGAAACCAGCACTTGTGTACTTGATATCAATCATCAAAATGTGACGTCAAAGTTTGGGACGCGCAGTGAGTTGGCTTTTGAAGATTCTTTTTCGATCAAGTGGGTGTCTTTGTTGTCAGAGGAGTTTCAAGTGTCTTCAAATGAGTCTGGTCAATTGATTTTACCGCTAGGTGAGAGCTCGTCACACGGAGGTTGAGTTTAGACACAGCGATGGCAACAGGTGTCGCGACAAGGACTTAGGTGCAGAGTTTGTCAGCGTGAGACTCCCTGTGCGAAGCGACGCTGAAAGTTAGTTCGCGATCGGATTTATTTCTTTGGTGGCGATCTCGCTGAGTTTGTCCAGTAATGGCGAGTCTCATATGCATAGCAACGAAGAGCCCTCATAAAATCGACACTGGATACTGGTGGTGACAATAGTCAGTGCTGGAGTAATAGCGACTGCGAGGAGAAGCTGAATGTCGACCCGCTGAGTGATCCGCATTTCTACATCGACAACAATGATGTTGCAGACACTGATGGAGGGCTTCTCACGGCGCAAAACAGAGACTGCAAGCGTAGTATTATCAGTACTCTCCCTTGCCAGACGACGCCAAGCTGGCTGCTGCCTGTGCTGAGAAAGGGGATCCCTAAAAAAGTCAAACCTGCTGAACGCTTTGGGGCAACATCTTCACATGCTACAGAACGCGAGTATTCGCTCGTATCATTGAAATACAATTATGCTGAAATCATGGTCTGAGTGAAAGTGTGCAAGGCAGTGGATGTCAGTGGTATTGGTCAGTACATCTATCAGTATCGCAAGCTTTGGGACAACGCTCAAACTGTCAGCACAGAGCTCCCTGAACACAATTTGGAAGGCCAGTCACCAATCATCGTTTTGCACCCTGGTTTTGTAAAGAAATTAGTGACGTATACAGTATATCGTCACACTTCTGAACTACTCATGCCTGCGGCACCAAGAGGGCAAGCCTGACTTGCATCTATTTACTTACATGTACCTGTTCCATATCACAATCAGAAACTGTAGGATCAACTTGGTTGGAGTCACTGGGCATGGATGCTGCGCCAACTGTACTGAGTCTTGAAGTGTGTGACTTCAAACTCTATTTTCCATGCTTTCGCTTATCAGATTGTCACCAAACTTGCCAACTTGAACTATTATTATTGTAGAATCAATTTCGAGCGAAAAATTATTTTTGAAAAAATTACACATGTTCAGGTTTCTGCCGACAGGGGCTCAATTGTATTTCTATTAAATGTACTTGTCAGTTTGAGCACTCTGGCAAGGTACATTCGGGCCTGGTTTAAATCTGGCTTTGGAAAATTTATTTTTCCATTGCTATCAGGTTCGGCCCCATTTCCTCTGTGCTGCACTGATGAGTCCACAAAGGACGAAACAGTTCTGTCCGCAGATTGAGTATTTCGCTCCTGCTCTTGTAGCAGTTGAGCACTCTTGTGTGGGGTAGTGCCTTTGCTGTTTGCGTTATGCAGAGCTAACTGACTTGTCAGTTTGGGTACTCTGGCAAGGTATGTTCGGGCCTGGTTTAAATCTGGCTTTGGAAAACTTATTTTTCATAGCTATCAGGTTCGACCTCATTTCCTCTGTGCTGCGCTGATGAGTCTACACAGGACTAAACAGTTCTGTCCGCAGATATTTATGTACTTATCTATTTTGCTGACCAAAGGTAGCGCATCTAACTATCGTTATGACGAGGAGAAAGGCTGAATACATGCGCATGAGCACCAAGCACCTGCCGTCAACATTTATCGTACACATAAAGCAATCCTTGATGCCAATGTAACCACCATCCAAATCATTTGGAACTTGAACCCAGCTCTAATGTAAAAGATGATCATTCGGTTCATTCGGTTGATGATTGTTTAGCGTAAACATGTGAAGTGCAAGTGTAATAAATATTGCAGCAAAACCGGTTTACATTCTGTTGTGCAAATGTGTGTTTTGCTTGGGCAGGCTGGGAGTGACAAACAAGTTTCTACTTCTTACCTTCTGGTCTCTTGGGAGCCCGGTGAGAAGGTAGATTCCACCATCTCCAATGTTGGTTGATTAGACAGGGCATTTTTCATAGGTCGTCTACCTTCTTCTTCTTCCCTTACTGAAGACATGGGGACAGTACACAGGAGGAAATGTGACTAAAAGGTGCAATCTCCATTGTGTACCAACTACCAAGACATTAGTCTGCACAGGTGCCATCGTGTACATGTCTACAGTCTATGTCATGCCTGTGTTTAGCATTAGAACCTGAGTTTAGAATTAGAACCTGTGTTTAGAATTAGAACCTGTGTTTAGAATTAGAACCTGTGTTTAGAATTAGAACCTGTGTTTAGAATTAAAACCTGTGTTTAGAATTAGAACCTGTGTTTAGAATTAGAACCTGTGTTTAGAATTAGAACCTGTGTTTAGAATTAGAACCTGTGTTTAGTATTAGAACCTGTGTTTAGAATTAAACCTGTGTTTAGAATTAGAACCTGCGTTTAGAATTAGAACCTGTGTTTAGAATTAGAACCTGTGTTTAGAATTAGAACCTGTGTTTAGAATTAGAACCTGTGTTTAGTATTAGAACCTGTGTTTAGAATTAGAACCTGTGTTTAGAATTAGGACCTGTGTTTAGAATTAGAACCTGTGTTTAGAATTAGAACCTGTGTTTAGAATTAGAACCTGTGTTTAGAATTAAAACCTGTGTTTAGAATTAGAACCTGAGTTGTGGCGCAATCTCGGTAGGCACTCACCAGTTGAATAATTCGACAGAACCACCCGGTCATAGTTGTCTCTATCTTTGATTGAGGAGAAGCTACTTCTGATGCTTGGCGATGTGCTCTTCCCACCTGCCACTGCGGATTCATTTCCACCTCCGGTCCTAGGACATACAGGCAGGGGGGGGGGGGGGGGGGGGGCAGAAAAAGTGAAACATGATTTTATAAAAATCTTATCAATTTTTCACTACAAATTCGACATACGTGAAACTTCCTAAGCTGGATTTGTTTCTAATCACAGCATGGATGACGGTAAGGAGGCCTAAGAGTTGGATTTCGAAGTGAAGATCTCATTTCTGTGTGCTGTGGCCATGCAGGTTATGTCAAGCAGTTGTTAAAAGCTCTTGAAGCTCTCTGTACTAAAACTATTCATTTGCACAAGCCTAGTCTATGTAAGCAAAAGCGCATGCTGTAGCTAAGGTATTCTCATAAGTGTCCAAATGTATGGAGTACCGTTATTCATTGTTCCAACCAATGTTTGATGTTCTAGCACAGGTTTTTCACTAAGAAGTAATAGTTTTCTTCTTTGGGTAAAAGGAAGATTAAGTGGAAGGATAACATATACTTATATCTTACATACCCCCCCCCCCCCCCTCCCAGGCATAGTGGGATGGTCTAAGACCAGGTTCAAGTCCTGATTGGAAGCGGAAGAACTTTTCCAGCCGTGTTGCGACCCACAGTTAATTGGGAACTCGTGGCCTGGCACGAGGGAAGCATGGATGCAGTGAATGGGATATTCGGTCTTTGACCACTTTGGTGGATCTGCTCTCCTCAACTCCCACCACTTTAGGAGCTGCATCTGTGCCTTAATCTTTGAATGGTGGTGGCGTTCTTACGGATGCGGAAACACGGCCTCTAGCCGACTCTGACTTGAGCCGCGAATTCATTTACACCCCCCCCCCCCCCACATACACACATGCACACGCACACACATGTACACACACCAAATACACACACATTCACACACACACACCTTGGACCTTGGACGCCCATCGCGTAGCGATGATGGCTCAGACGCGGCAGTGGGGGGCGTGCCTCTTCAGGTCCCCAATGCGGCCAAAGGGACGGCCACATGCGCAACGGAACTCTTTCGGTCCGGGTGGAGGAGGCTGCTGACGACACAACCGCTTCCAGGTTGGGCGATCTTGGGCTTGATGGAACCATTCTCCCTCTCCGATCTGTGCCGCAGCTAGATCAGTGACAACAACGTCACGCCATCGCTTCTTCGGACCGTGGCGGGGGCGAGTGGCATATAACTCGCCAAATACCATCTGCTGCGGAGTGCGGTGTTCCTCCATACGGGCAATGTGCCCCAGCCAGCGCAGACGATGCTGTCGGAGCAAATCGGAGATGTCAAGAGACATGCCAAATCGCCTGCCCAATTCTGCCGATGTGAGCCTGTCCTCCCACTGCTGGATCCGCGATACACCGAGGATAGACCGAATACAGGAGCGATGGAAGACGGTCAGCCGATGGACGTGGGTAGCCTTCACAGCCCATGTCTCTGCACCGTAGAACAGAGTGCTCAGGACAAAAGCGCGATATACCATGCACTTAATGCCGATGGATAAACCCCGGCACCGGAAAATCGGGGTCAGGAGGCAACCAAACACACGAGATGCCTTGGCCAAGCGGGAGGTGATCTCCACGTCCAGTGACCCATCGCAACTCACCACACTACCGAGGTAAGTAAAGCCGGAGACCATCTCCACAACCCCACCATCATCGAGGACGACATCAGGTTGTAGGTCCCCCGGGCCGACTGCTATGGCCTTTGTCTTGGCGATGCTGACAGTGAGACCCCACTGAGAGGCACAGGCGATGAACTCGTTTGCCAGGGTCTCCAGATGTTCTCTTGATGTGGTGTATATAGCGGCATCATCAGCGAACTGGGACTCGGTAACTTGGTACGTGTTCAGTCGCGCCTTGGTTGTTCGATCCCCAACAAGCTTCCGGCCAGGGCGTGAGCGCAGGGACACGCCGGGAACAGAAGAGCGGGAACGCCAAGACGACATTACGGCAGCAAAATACAGATTGAATAGGGTGGGGGCAAGAGTACAGCCTTGGCGAAGACCATTGTTAACATATATGTCCTCCGTCAAGCGACCAGATATACGAACCCGAGCCCTCATGCCGACATGTAGGGACCGAATCAAGCTGAGAAGGGTAGGTGGAATACCGAGCTTCCCGAGGACAAGCCACAACGCCTTACGAGGTATGCTGTCATAAGCCTTCTTCAGGTCGACAAATATGACATACAGTGGCGTATCATGTTCGATGGCCTTCTCGATTAGCTGGCGCGCCACAAACACCATGTCGACGCACCCACGTCCCTTCCTAAAACCGCACTGTGACCCAGGCAGCACATCCTCGGACAGTTCCTGAAGGCGACCCTGGATAACCCGTGCAAACAGCTTACCGACTACATCCAACAGGCTGATGCCTCGCCAATTGTCACATGACCGTAGGTCGCCTTTCTTCGGTATGGGTACAATCTCAGCGTCGCGCCACTCAGAAACAACGGAGCCACCTGCCCAAATCTGGGAAATCAGAGAATGAATACGTGCGGTGGAGAGCAAGACCGCCACCCAGCACCAATTCCGGCACAATACCTGACGAGCCACCAGCCGTGCCCCTACTCATCCTCCGCATTGCAGCCATCACCTCCTCAAATGTCGGAGCCATGTCAAGTTCATGACGCAGCTCAGCAGTAGGCATGTTATCAATGACATGCATACTAAACTGACTAGCAATGTTGCGCACTCTGTCGAAGTGTGCATGCCAACGCGTAACAAGACTTTCCGGGCTGTCAGTAAGGTGTCCGTCTCCATCATAAACCGCCGAGGGTGTGACCGTACGCCTGCCATCATCCACCCGCTGCAATTTTCGGATGCATTTCCACCTCACACAGCCATCCTTTTGAGCACGCTCAGCATCACCGACCACCTCACGGATCCATTGTTCCTTTGCACCACGCACCGCCCCCGCAACCGACCGCTGGGTTGATCTAAATCCGGAACGTGTCGTTTGATTGCCTGCCGACAACATTCGTTCATGGGCACGTCGCTTCGCCTCAATAAGTGGCTCCAATGCTGCCCTATTCTCCAGAAACCAGTCTGGTTGCCGCCGCCGACCATGGCCCAGTGTTCTCTCCGCTACGCTGGTGATGTCATCACGAAGGGAATTCCAGGTCTCTTCAACACTCTGGCCACCACCGACCACGCCACCACAGGCTGCCTCCATTGACTCTCGGTACTGCAGTAACGTATCAGGCTCACGCAGGCGATGGGTGGCATACGACCTCCGCTTAGGGACAGTGGATCTACGTTGGACGAAGTCCAGGACAAGCTTGGCCCGAACCATGTAGTGGTCAGTCCAGCACAGTGCGCCGCGGACAACACCAACGTCCTTACAGTAGCAGCAATGAGCTGTACGCATGATGACATAATCAATGAGATGCACTTGGCGAGTGGCTGGATGAGTCCATGTTCCACGCTTACTTCGTCCCTTCTTGTACCATGTATTCATTACTGACAATTGATTAGCTGCACAGAATGACAACAGCTCCTCACCAGCCCGATTGCAATTTCCAAGGCCAAATTGGCCCAAGACACAACCCCACATCCGCTCATCCCCCGGCATGCCATCGATACGACTCACAGCGCTGTCTGCATAGTCAGTGCTGGACCCGACGCGCGCGCGTTCAAATCCCCAAGCAGCACAAGAACATCTCTGGATGGGATACTGTCCACAACTCGTTGCAAGTCATCGAAAAACTTGCGTCTTACGTTCGGTGGGGCTTTACTCGTTGGAGCATAAACATTGACGATAGAGACATAGAAATCTGCGTGTCGCTTACCTCCACCAGGGAGTTTATCACCTCGCTTGGCGACAAGAAGACGAGCAGTGACAATACGCAAACTGACGGCGCTCCACTGCTCCCCTCCGCTCTTCCACATCCCGGTCACGGCGGAATTCATCAAAATTCCAACTCCCTCGTTCCGGCGGCCGGGCTCACTCCCCAAAGGCAAAGGCCTCCCAGAGTGTAACAACGTACCGCTCCCAGCAGGCCAGACGTCGCTTCCAAACCATTTCGTCTCCTGAATACCAGCAACGTCCACGCCGAACCTGCCGAGTTCCTCCACAAGAAAATCCAGTTTCCTGTCAACGGCGGTATCCGAGACATTTTTATTTTTACGGCATATTTTGGCATCACCAGCGTCCTCCACCAAGGACCGAACGTTCCATGTCGCAGTGACCAGTGTCCTCTTCGCCTTCGTCTTCCCCGTCCTCCTCGTTGTGACCATAATTCATTCAAATTCAAAAAACTACAAATTCCCCA